CGGAAAGGGAGCCAAAAGCAAAGATCTTTGCATGAAGCCTCCTTCATATAATTTAAAATAATCATTTAAATGAAATTTCAAATCATTTAAGAAAAAATTATTTGAAGATAAGGTTTCAAACATTCAAATCTTTTAAATAGTTTAAGATTTTTAGAGTTTGAAACATATGAGGGTTTAGTAACATAATCAAAATATAATGATCAAAATAACAATATCTTACTATTTGGTCAATGTGTCTTCTAAATATCCATAAGTTCTTTCCTCTTCAACCAAATCTACTAGTCATTACAAAGGGTATTTTGTTAAATCGTATAACAGAGTGATAGAAATACATGTACTTTTTTGTTGTTATGTTAAAAGTATTATATGCCATTAAGTTTGTTGTATCCTAATTAAAAATGTAGATCATTTTGGTGGATGTTTTCTACAAGAAATTTGTAGTTGGCTTTGAGACATTTATGTAGATATAAAATTCATCAAGATCTGAATCTGTATGAAGAAGTTATATGTTGTAAAGTATATGGTGTAAAACATGTTCTCTTAATGTGCCAGACGCTTTACACGATTGTGTAAGGGTTTTACACGATCGTGTAAGCATCATGAGGTACCCACACATAAAAAGGGAAGTGAGATGCTACACGTTAAATATTATTCATACTAGTTGTGAGACCTATGTATTACATATGTTAATTAAAAAAAAAATTATATGAAGGTCTAAATATTTAAGAACTTCGAATTTATAAGAAAATAAGAAAAATAATGAATTATTAAAATTGAAATGTGTTTTTTATCTTTTAAATTTAAATAAATAAATAAATAAACTAAGGAGCTTTAAATTGAGAATTTTGAAATTAGAAGGTAAGTCCATTAATGAAATTAATATCAATTTATTACCACATTTATTATAATTATTACATTAAATATTATGTGAAATTTAATAAAATATGAAAACCCATAAAATGATATGTGGAAAAAAATTAATTCAAAATAACATTTGACAAATCGAATGAGAATGTGACATATGGTTTAAAAAAATATTCATTTATTAGAGTAGATAATGTCTAACACCGACTTATACTCATTGGATTTTTAAGTCTAACTTACTACGCTTGATATATTTTCATGTTAGTAAGGGTTTATTAGGAATATTGAAGATTAAGAAGTCGAAGGACGTTAGAAGAGATCTTATTGAGCATGAGATATTTACTTATTTGAACAATTGAATGTAACACTTTGGTAATTAACATTGAATTTCTTTTAAAATGTTAGGAATTTTATCTTTAGGAGTATGTAAAATGTTAGGGGTATGGATACTTCAACCATATTCTTGTAATCTCCTCGTAAACGTCACTAAAGACTCATTGATATACCATTTTGAGGAAGTTAAATAGGAATGATAACGAGCAAAGAAAAATTAATAAATCAATTGATTAAGTACAGATTTAAAAACCAGCACTATTAAATAAGTAGTCTTTAACTTTTTTTATAGAATAAGGACGATGAACAATGTTCAAATATTTGAATAAATTTTTTCACACTTTTTGTTTTCTACATCTACAAGTAATCTCTTTTAAGAGACAAAAACAAAAGCTGGAATAGCTCAGTTGGTTAGAGCGTGTGGCTGTTAACCACAAGGTCGGAGGTTCAAGCCCTCCTTCTAGCGGGTTTACATTCAATATTTTTGCTATCTGTGGATATCTAAAATAATAATAAAACAGAATTCTTTCAAAATGGTTAATTATAGTAATTTATATTAATTCATATCCTCATCGTAACATAATTGAGTTTAACCTTTTAAACAAGTTTTGTTTTGATTTATTTCGATCATAACTTTTTTCTTGGTTCATTCCCATCACATTTTCTTCTTCTAAGTACAAATTTTTTATTTCTCTGTCCAACCAAAATATTTACCATGCAATGAAAGAAATGTCAATGTAGCTCGTCATAACTTAAGGTCAAATTGCATCTAAAATTAATATATTATCTGTTAATTTCTACTAAAAAAACATATATGTAAAAATCAAAATCATAATTTAGAGGTCTATATTAAGGATGGGTAAAAACGAACCGATCTAAAAAAATCCGTAACAAATCAAAACTGAAAAACTAAAAACCAATACAAAAACCGATGGAGAGGTTTTTAATTTGATAAAGACCTGCTAAAGTCGGTGCGGTGCGGTTTTACCTTAGAAATTGAACCACACCACTATATATATATATATATATATATATATATCCATTATTTCTTTTATGTTATAATGGATGTTTAAGATAGTAATTGTTTTAGTTGGTAAATAAAAATATAAAATACATCATTATAACTGATAATAATTTAGAAGTTTGAGTTATGATTGTGTTTGTCGACCAAGACTATGATTTCACCAACCTTTTGAGTGTGGGCTAAAAAGGTAAAAAAAATGTTTCATAATTCTAGGCTAAGCGTGTTGGTTAAAGAGCTAAATGCTAAAATTTTAATCAAAAAATATTTCACTTATGGTCTCTTGCGATATTAAAACTTCACCATTACATTGTTCGGTTTAAAATCGAAATTGCGCCACTTGAAACCACATTGTTGGAAAAACCGCAAAACTGCACCACTTGAAAACCACACATTACGATTTTAAAGTTATAAAAACTGATGCGTTCGGTTTTAGTCGAAAACCTTGTCATGCTCACCCCTAGTCTATATTATAATTTTATAATAAAAAAAGACAACTTCATAAATGGTCCTTATGGTTTTCCAAATTTTAGGTTTTAGTTCTAACCCATCTCGTCGCATGGAAAGTCCTATAGTTTTAATCTGTAATGTGGTTGGTTCCTTACCCACATAAAAACATTTTTATACCTTTTTTAAAAATTTATTTTGTATTTTTCTTAAACTAATATTCGTTTAATAAACAAAAAAATAAATAAACTTTCCTCTGTAAATCAACAACACCCTCTATAAATGTTGAAAACCACAAAATCAACAAAAATCTCTATAAATAATCAACAACCATAAAATTTTCTTACCACTCACCAATAGGAGATGAATCAAATCTAAAAAATATTTAACAATTCAAATCTAATTCATATCCAAAATAATTTATTGAACAAATATGAGAGGTGAAGTAGGGTGTTCGACGTCATGTACAACCGAAACATAGGAATCCTAACCGGAATCTCGAGGAGGAATGTTGAAGTAGTTTGTTAGATTTGTAAAACACTATCTCCAATCAACTGTACAGCATAAATCAAAGACCTTTCCTTTTTCCCCTTATTTTTCTTTTTGTTTTCCTGAAAGTGATTCAGAAAGTGATGTTCTTTCGACGATTGCATTGTTGATAAACTCCCGAAAGGAAACAACGGGTCACCCAAAAATTCGTGTTTAATACTTATCCGCCTCCTTAACTCTTCTCGGAACGGCGACCCATCACCACTGCCACCGGTTTCGGTGTCCGAGATCGATTTGTACTATGAAGTTGAATATGTAAATTAAGCATATCAGATTTTATCTTTTCAACTTGCAAATTCTTATCTTTTCATCTCTCCTACTTCACGATTATATTGTTATTGTGGAGTTTTCCAAGCTGTCTTTTTCTCCTGTTAACATACAATCACACGGCAGGGTTGCTATTTATTTTTTATGTATTTTAAATAGATTTAATTAAAGAAAAATTAAAAAGAAATTAAAAAGGTAAAAAAAATCTCATTCTAAATTGGTCAACACTAACCACAATAGAAATTACAATCAAACAGACATTTTATGAAACCAAAAATATTAAGAACAAAAACCTAAAATCTAAAAAACCATTTATGAAGTTTTGTCTCAAATAAATAATGTCTTTTGCTAATATATTTGTTATTAGTAACTTAATATTCACAAAACTACAAAAATAGTCCATATTGTTTTTCATTTTGTTTAGCTAAGATCCAAACCTTGAAATGAATTTGGTCTTTTGGGCCTACTTTATTATAATTTTTGTTATCTTTATTCTACTTTTTATTATGGATTTGGTTTTTAAAAACTTGAAATGTCTTAAAAATTTGAAATGTCTATTTTATCAGTTATTTTTTCCTATTATTAATTATTTTACCACTTTTATTAATAAAATGAATCTCTCTCTCTCTCTCTCTCTCTCTCTCTCTCTCTCTCTCTCTCTCTCTCTCTCTCTCTCTCTCTCTCTCTCTCTCTCTCTCTCTCTCTCTCTCTCTCATATTTTACCCCTATATGAGTTTTTGGGCTAATAAAGAAGACCAAGAGCATTAGTTATCTCTTATTTGCCAATACCACAATTTACTCCATAAAAATTCAAACGAAAAAGAAGAGGACTAGGTCGGGGAAGAAGATCGTCAAATATGGATGAACATGAGTCAGTTATTTGGCTAAAACTGAACCCAACCCATAAAATTCGAATTTTATGGTTTCAAAACCCATATAGGTTTAGTTTCTGTATATGTCGGTTTTTCGGCTTAGGTTTGTGGGTTTTCGATTTGAAACTGTGGGTTTGTGCATTCACGGTAAGGATGAACATGATACCAATTAGTTACTCGGGAATATCAAGTATCAAAATTGGTGAAAAAACGATATTGAGTACCAAACCTATGGTATTTGTACCGAATACAATACCAACTTTCGATAGTAGCATCGGTACCCAGGGTATCGAATCCCAAATTTCGTGATTTAGAATATTGAGTACCGACACACAAAATTAGATTTCGACCCAAATCTACAAGTCTAATCTAGTGTTATCCAAGTCGGTTTTCTTCTCTTGTGTCATCAAAATTAACAATATGATATTTTGTGTATGAAAGAATGAAAGAGAGAAAAGTTGTGATGGGGTGAGACTTTATTTTTAGTTTCTTTCAATAAAAATGATAAAACTGTTAAATTATGTGAAAAAAAATTAAAAGAATAAAAAAGATATTTTAGAATTTTCAAAGACAAAATTCTAAAAAAAAAAAAAAAAAAAAAAAAAAAAAAAAAAAAAAAAAGATATCCATAAATTTTCCAAAATTATCTTAACCAAAAAAAATAACAAGCTACAAGGACCACTTTTATAATTTTGTCTATTACTTATAAAATTTATATTTCTAAACAATTAAATACATTTCCATCCTTATTAGGAGCATTTATGCAAACACACCAAAACTAACAAAACCTTTTCTCATTTCGAATACTTAAATGGCTTCTTGTAAGTCTGCAAAAGCAACGACGAACACACCACACTGATAGAAGAAGCCGCCATGAGAGCTCCGGCCAACCAAGGAGGCAACCTGATTCCAGTGAACGGAAACAAAACTCCGGCAGCAATTGGCATCCCAAGCACATTATAACCAAGGGCCCACACATAGTTAAGATGAATCCGAGAAATAGTCTTTCTAGATAAATCAACGGCAGTGATAACATCTTCCAAATTGCTTTTAATCAGCACTATATCAGCCGCCTCAATAGCCACGTCAGTCCCCGCCCCAATCGCCATCCCCACATTCGCCGCAACCAACGCCGGCGAATCATTTATTCCATCTCCCACCATCGCAACTATTTTTCCTCTTGCCTAACATATCAAAACACCAACATTAAAAAATTTTATCTATTGGCCCTAAACTGTTGAAAATGAGATACCACAGGGACCAATTTTGTAATTACCTGCAAGTCTTTTATTCTGTCGGCTTTTCCCAAAGGATCAATCTCAGCAAACACGTGTTGAATCCCAACCTCTTTTGCAATGGCGGTTGCAGTCGACCAGTTATCACCAGTCACCATAATACTATCAATATTCATTGACCGGAGAAACGAAACCACCGGCGCCGCCTCCGGTTTCACCGGATCAGTGACGGCGAAACCACCGGCAACCTTCCCATCAACCGCCACAAGAACACACGTGCGAGCCAGTTTTTCATTTTCCGTAAAATAATCCTCCACCTCCACGTCAACCACCACATTAGACAACCTCATAAGCTTCTTATTCCCAACAAACACCGTTTTTTCTCCGACTTTACACCCCACCCCAGCCCCCGGGTGGACCGTGAAATCCTTCACCACTGAACCGGTATTTCGAAACTCCCGGTTCGACAGTTTGCTTTTCGCGTGTTCCACAACCGCTTTTGCTATCGGGTGTTCGCTATTCGCCTCTACAGCAATCGCAATATTACAAAACTCCTCGATCTCAATTCCGGAGAAGATGACGTCATTCACGACTTTAGGTTTTCCAAATGTTAACGTCCCCGTTTTATCGAATACGATTGTATTAACCTACATGATCCAAATTATGTTAATAGAATGTGGCTTAGGGGGGGAAAGAAAAAGGGCAATTTAGTCTTTTTCTTTTTATCACACCTACCTTGTGTGCTTTTTCGAGTGCGTTTCCACCTTTGATAAGCACACCTTGTGTAGCACCTTTACCAGTGGCAACCATAACTGCAGTAGGTGTGGCTAAACCTAAGGCACAAGGACATGCAACAACTAAAACTGAAATTCCAAATTGTAATGCAAGTTCAAATTCATCCATCGCTTTTGGTATCCAACTTTTGGGATAAATTCCAAGTGCTCCAGGAATATACCACGCTAGCCATGTCACAACAGCAGCTGCAACAACCTGAAAATAAGTCAACGTTGACTTTTCAGGTCAAACTTGGTATAAAAAGAGTAAAAGTACGTTGCTATTTTGTGCAAAGAAAACTGACCGCAGGTACAAAAAACCTTGAGATCTGATCAGCTAGCTTCTGAACAGGAGCTCTAGCAAGCTGAGCAGCTTCAACTATTTGAACAATTTGAGAAAGTGCAGTTTCTGATCCAATATGAGTTGCCTTAATCAACAAGCATCCATTCTCATTCACAGTTCCACCAATAACCTATATCCATTAAAATAAAAAAAAGATAAAAATTGGGGGAGGGGTAAATATGTAAATATGTAAAGATGCATACCCTATCGCCGGGACTTTTAGCAACTGGAATAGCTTCGCCTGTGATCATACTTTCATTCACGTAACCATGACCATCGATCACAACCCCATCAACAGGAAATTTTGCTCCGGGGAATATTTTTAAAATGTCGTTTTTTTGAATTAATTGGGAATTAATTTCGGTTTCTGAAATGGTGTTTCCGGAATCATCCATGGTCAAAAGGCAAGCTGTGTCTGGAGCAAGATCGGTCAACTTTGCTAAAGCATCGGATGTTTTTCCTTTAGCGATTGACTCTAAGTATTTTCCTAAGAGAATAAATGATATCAACATTGTGCTTGTTTCAAAGAAATCTTGTCCCTCAAATGCATCGGAAATTAGGGCTTTTATTAATGTGTATACGGAATAGAAGTAAGCTGCATTAGTGCCAAGTGCGACTAGCACATCCATGTTTGCAGATTTTCGCCTTAGTGCGTGATATGATCCCACATAAAACCTGTGTTGAAATAGATTAAGTATATATTACTTACATTAAAAAATTAAAGAAGAAAAAAAAAATTAACCTTACCTTTTACCAATAATAAATTGGACAGGTGTGCAGAGGATCCATCTCAAAACCATTCCAACAGTAAGCATGTTATGAAGTTTATAACTTAACCAATTCCCATAAGGAGGAATCATCGGAAGCACCATAGAAAACATCAAAAGTGGAATGGAAAACAAGCAGCTCCATAAAAACTGATTTCTGTAAATTTTAATCTCATGGGATTTTTCGGTTTCATTTCCTCTTTCGGGAATGAATAAACTTGCTTGATAATGAGTACTCGATTCTTGAACAAACTGTATAACTGACCTGCCACCTGTCACATCTGGATCATACCCAACACTCACCTTACATCCTTCCACATCAATCTCAACATCATTGACACCACTTAGTGATTCCAGGGAATTCTTGATTCCATTCATGTCTTCTACAGAAACAATACCTTCGAGTTTTATATGAACTTTGTTCCCGTTGTTTCCAGACCCTATGAGATCCGCTCCAAATCCGGAATCTTCCACTGCTTCAATTATCTGATTAGGGTTTATAACATTGGGATCATAGTTTACCTTTGCTTCTTCGAGAGCTAAGCCCACAACAGCTTTTCTTACACCTTCAATCATTAAAAGAGCACGTTCAACTGATTCAGAGCAGCTTGTACACATCATCCCTTTGATTCTGAGTCGACATACTGCAATGTCTTGATCTGTAAATTCTTTGACTTCAAATCCTGCATCTTCAACTGTTTCTTTGATTGCTTTTACCTGAAAACATGATATTATAGTATTATACTTTTGCTAAAAAATGTCTTTGAGAATTAATACATGAGGCAACAATGGGAGCTTACATCAACAAGTTCTGGAGCATATTTAACTACAGCTTGGCCTTGAAGTGGTGACACAATGGCACTTTGAACACCATTGAGATCCAGAAGTAAAGATTCAATGGATGATGAACATGATGCACATTCTATGCCACCTATTTTGAATGTAATGGTTCTAATCCCTTGATTGACACTATGGACTGATTTAATATCAATTACAACAGCATCTGAGGGTTGCAGAAGTGGTGTCTTCAAATCATCATCCTTCCCATTGACTTCCATTCCTGCAACCAAATCCACAAACCATTACTAGAGTATAAATATTTGATCAAGTAGACTTAAAATATTAACCCAAAATCACTATCATCTCTCATATTTCAAAAAAATAAACTGTAAACCCTAGAAATCATTAATTAACATCATTTGTCAAACATATGCTTACTTCCTAGAAGTGGTATCATTCAGAGATTTAAGTCAGATCTAAAATCTTTCAGTTTTAGATGCAAATTTGATGTGAAATATGTTGTTATTTTATCAAAAACACACTATTTGTATTCTGTAGTGCTTACTAAGTTTGTCAATTCTCTATTCAGATTCTTCAAACCCAAGTCAAACATAAAACTGTTCTAGAAATCGGTGTCCCTGTTCTTTTATTGTATCTATATCTTCAATCTTAAGTATCAATTAACAACAGATGTATGGATCATGAGACACCTAACTTTGATTCGATGACGATACACAACTTCAGCATAAAACCTAGAGTCAACCAGACCTAAAAATTAACATGTACAATCCACGTCTACAAATAAAGTAACATCAAGCGAACCAAAGTAACATAAATCTCTAAATTGTTTAATCAAACCATGATCGCAGCTTCTAAAACTAATTAATTAACAGAATTACTAAAGCTAACATCCATATATCATGCATATAAGCGAGAGTTTACCTACTCCAAAGCTAGATAGTACTAATTAGGGTTATTGAACAGCGGCGGTGAAGAGAAGACTAGAGGAGAGGTAAGAACAGGCGTGCAGCAGGGGTTTCAGACGTATTAGGGAAATTGGTGGTAATGGAGGCGTCTCCTTTTTGTTTTCCTTTTTCAAATATTCGAATATAAGAACCCTTCCCACTTCCCACCAAGGATAACGTCCATTGCAGGCCCACCATCGTTTACTCATAAAAATCATCGTTCGGTTTGACTTTATTCGAAGGTGAACAAAAATTATAAAACAGACAAAACTATAAAAATGTTTAATGTTCTATGTATTTTTTTCGAGGTTTGTTCAAAACCTTTATTTTTTTTTGGATTATTTTGGATTGATGGTCATTTTGAGGAGGAAATGACTCTGAATGGTAACTAACTATTCAGTTTGTTTTCATTTGATTTTTTTTTGTACCCATTATACCATCAAATTTGTTGTTTGTGTTCATCATAACCCTTTTGACCGACTATCACTTGTGATAACCGGTCAAAAAGGTTATGGTGAACACAAACAAGTTCGATGGTATATTGGGTATAAAAAAAGTGATCAAATGAGAGCAAACTCAACAGTTGGTTACCCTCCTAATTTATTTTCCCTTTATTCATTTACAGAAAATCTCATGTCATTTTCTGCTTATATTAATGACTTTATGAGATTCATTTTTGCTTCTCTTTAAAACATAACCTACGAAAGAGCATTATTCATACATGTACAACTTTGTAATGCACTTTTATATTTATTATACCAATCTTGATTGAGCAGGTATATTTCATGACTACATTTACAATTCCAATGAAATGATTTATCGTACCATGGATCATAGACAAGTCTACAAATTACTTGGCTTTAAGATCAAATTCATGGTATAATATACAACATCAATGTGTACAAGATCATGCAGGTTTCGCAGACACATCACCATAATATACCTTGAGGTAAACGTTTATGCTGATAAATATAACTCTCATACACAATCATATCCTTTTGCAGAGAGTTGTTAACAGTTAACCACCGTAAGCATAGCATAGACCATGTTTTGACTAGGTTACCCCTCTCAAACGCTCTTCATGTATGTTATGGCCTAAGAAGGTTGCAGTTTTGATACTTTTGCAACTTTAATTTCATTTAACTTTTTGGGGAAAATGACTAAGGATGGTAACTAACTATTGAGTTTGTTCTCATTTGGTCACTTTCCTTTTTTTGTACCCAATATATCATCTATGACATCCCCATTTTCACGGCCAGAAAAGACCGATTTGTTTATGCTTTGTTTTATAAAATCAAAGTAATCTTTTAAAGAAAACAGTTGCAGAATTTGTTCCCAAAACAAAATATGATAAAAATTATCAAAACATTTCCTTAAAGAAATTTATTTTCATTATATAACAAAATCTCGGGATGTCATGTTCAATACAGACCAAAAGCATAAACAGAACAAAATAGACATTACAATAGTTATTCATAACTACTGGCCTATAATCCAAAATCTCTCGTCAAGTCCACCAACTTATACTCTTGTGCCATTACCTGTAATGCAAAGAAAACTGAGTGGGTCAGACTTGGGAGCCTGGTGAGCATATAGGGTTTTCATCCCACAATGTTATATCATATATTTATAAATATAGAACATTCAAACTATTACAATTTCACCATATAAAGGCAACTCTTATTCCACCCCATCGATCCTCACAACGACACGATCTAAACTCTCGTATCTAAAATTTTCCTCTTTACCTGATCCCTACTCACGGATCTAAAACTAACCTTTTTCACCTGATCCATACTCACGGATCTAAAACTAACCTCCTGATCTGATCCATACTCCCGGATCAATAATTGTACCAAATCCATACTCCCGGAATAAGGACAATTAACTATACCCTAATCCTGATCTGATCCATACTCCCGGATGAATAACTGTGCCCAATCCATACTCCCGGACTAGGGACAATTAACTTAGTCTTAATTCATACTCCCGGACTAATAACAAGTTTTATCTCTTTACCTGATCCATACTCCCGGATCTAAAACTAACCTCTTGGTCTAATCCATACTCGCTGAATAACTAGATCAACAACAACAACATCGGGGCCTCTCATCTGTTTATCACACATCAAAATATCTACCCATGTTCTACCCAACATATTAGTAGATAAAAATATATATTTTTATACATAGTTTAAAACATGTATAACATTCTCATTCAATACCTATTCCACATAACAGATGAGGCATACCTACATAACACGTATTTCATAGAGAATAAATCAGATCTATGAGATAGAAGAAAGTGAATATACATTCACACACATAACAACAAAATTATACACATAACACGTATTTCGTATAAAATACTTCATAATTATGCATTAGAAGAAAGTAACCACACACTCACTTGATTAGAAGATGATCGGACAGCACTACGTCTTGTAGAAGTAGTATTCTTTGGTAGATCTGAAAGATCTTCACAAAAATCGGGCTCCTCGCGGGCAGAGCTTCGGCTCGGGAATCGCACTCCTTGGGATCTTCGGGGCCTCGGGACTTGCTTCGGGGCTCAGAACTTGCTTCGGGGCTCGGGAATGATACCGGGGCTTCGGGATGTTTCTTGCACGAAAAACGATGCAAAAACGCGAGAAAACGGGAAGAAATGGGCAAGGAAGTCGGTTGCCCTCGACACCCTTTTATAGGGGGCTGGAAGCTCATTTACGCTGGGCGTAAATCTACATTACGCTGGGCGTAATGTGGATAAGCCCGATGACTCCCCCCCTTTGGATAATATCCGAATTTTTATTTAATTTAAATACTTTAATTATTTAATAAACTTAAAAAATTCATATCTTCCTCATACGAACTCCATTTTCGAAGTTCTTTATACCCACGCGTAGGTGAGACTACGATCTACAACTTTCTTTTATACTATGTCGGCTAATTTTGAATTTATTTTTATTATTTATTTTTAGTAGGCCGGGATAGGAAAATTCCGTTATAAATTCATAACTTCTTCATCCGATGTCCGTTTTCGCCTATATTTTTATCGTTTTACTCCTATTAACGAGACCTTCGATTCTCATTTAGATTGTTTCGGCTAAAAACCGATCGGTCTCAAATCGAGCATTCGGGCTGCATACCGCTAAGTCAAAACTTAGAAAAATCATAACTTCCTCATACGAAGTCAGATTTGGACGTTCTTTTTATGCACGTTCATGGTTTAACGAACTCTACGACTTTCATTTATATCGCTAAGGCTAAATATCACTCTAACGTAAATTCACTTTTTATGTCATTCAGCGTCGTGCCGGTTCTGTCGCGAAACTTCGACAAGTTATAACTCGGATTTCGGCGTTCTTTATATGCACGGAAACCTTGTAACATATACTAAAACTTAGTTAAGATTATTCATTCTAAATAATCTTTCATCAAAAATTCATTTTTAACGCCTATCGTCTCTAAATTGACTAGCCCGGATCTACGGGCGTTACAATTATCTCCCCCTTAGGATGATTACGTCCCGAAATCATCAACGAAAATAGAACTTGTATAATGATTCCATACGCTATCTCTTCATCCTAGGTAATAACCGTAATTTCTATGTTTCCTCGAAAGAGTATTTAACTCTATGGCTTTCTTGACTGCAGAAGATGCCCAATCTTGCATCTGCTTATCGTACTATGTTGTACTTTCAATCTTAACCTTCAAGTTACCAAATAAGTCCTTATTGTGGACTCCTTCTTCTTCTTAGGATAAATACTGTCCTTTATCTATTGTAACAGATTGATAGGTTATGTTCTAATGACCTCTCATCGCATGATGCAACGGTTTGACTCAAGTCTCTTAGAGTCAAATTCCAAAATGGAATATACCTTCCTTCATATTATAATGTGATATAATCATATTTCCGCATGTAGCATTTCTACCTGCAAACTTCTTTTAACAACGAGCGCGATACTATCAATCGCATTAACTTCAACCTTCTGACTTAAGTCAGATGTTACATCTAACTGTTGGGTTTTGAGAAATCTAACATTTCCTAAGTGTGCATGCAACCCTAATAAACCTTGGATCTATGTTTGTCTAAATACATGCAAAATAATAATTTTCCAAGGTTCATAACCTATCTAACATGGCATGGGGTACTTTTAAACATAAAAGAGTTAGAAGAGATTACATACCTTTTTGATGAGTTTGATTCTTAAGGAGTTTGAGGGCCAAGCACCAATAGTGTGAATGCCTCAAATGGAATCACAAATCACCACAAACTCTTGGAAAACTTTGAGAGAGTGTATACACACTACAATTTTCGGCCACACACAAGCACACACACTAGTGGCTATTTCATGCAACATAAGCATGCTTATATAGTGTACATGATTAGGGTGAAACCCTAATAACCCATGACCTTTCCTTTTCCAAGGATCCATGGGTTAAAAGCTCCATGGATCATCCATGGACTTCCATACAAGCCTAGCCCATTAACAAATGGGTGTTAGCCCACACCATATAAAACCAATAGCCCACAATCTAATTAGTCTTCCTTTTAATCTCTAAATTAATTCATAATTAATTTAAGACTAAGACTAATTAAATAACATGACTTCATATTAATATATTATAACTTATAATATATTAATAATAATATGTGTATAACTCTCATAAAATTATCCATAAATAGTTTGGATGAAATGCAACCCAAATGGACCATGCCGGGTCGGGTCAAGTATATACCAAATAAGTTATGGACTTAGACACCTTATCCAACAGACTCCCACTTGGATAAGTCTAATAACTGTATTTGCCTATTACTTCAGGAACCAACCGCAATCGTAGCTCTCGAAAACTCTGTTGAACTATGAAGCGCCATTTTAAGATAAGTGATCATACAATCCTCTGTTCTCATGATATCAGCGGACAAACACATGGAACTATGTCTTGCTTATTGTCTGGCAGTTGTTTCTCGATTTCCGATTTGTTTGACAAAGAACTCAACTGAACACATCAATTTAGTTCTGACCGGGCCCGGTACATGGGTCAACACAAAATCATCGAGGGGCCCAAATATCACTTCTATTTCTAGAAGGAACAAATAAACTTCGACTCATATACTTGTTCTACTACTTGTTGAATTGTACACAAAGGCACGTTTTATAACATCAAGTTACTGATGCGTTTACGTGCAATCAATGCACA